TCCTGATTCCCCTTAATGTTAATGTCTTTCTCCTGACATTATCCCTATTATAGTTTGTATTTATTTTGTTTGTCCATAGCTATTTACATGTTGTCTCCCCCATTAGACTTTAACTTTTTGGAAGCAGGGACTGTGTCTTTTGCCTTTCTTTGTATCTTCAGTGCTTAGCACAGTGTCTGGCACTTGGTAGATGATCAATAAGGGCTTGTTGACTTGACTTGAACAAAGATGGTATTGCAGGGAATGTAGTATAGAAGAAAACAAATTCTGAACTGAGAATCAGGAAATCAGAACTCTAATTCTTTGGGCCTTAGTTTCTTCAAGTAAAAAATCTGTGCTATTACTTCATTATGGTCTTGGGCAATTTGTGTCCCTTCAGTTTTCTTTTCTGTAAGATGAGTTGGTGAGAGAATATAGACTATATACAGTAAAAAGAGTACACGATTTAGAGTCAGAAGACCTTGGTTTGGATCCCAGCTAGGTCATGTACCAGCTGTGTGACCTTGAGTAAGTCATTTATCTTCTCTGACGTTCAGTTTCCTCATCTATAAAATGAGGGGATTGGGACAGATGACTTTTTATCTCTGACTTTTTATGATTGTGTGAGCCTCTCCTTATTGTGGGGGCAGACTGAGTAACTGCTTTTGGCTGGGGTACTGGATGCTTTTCCTGTCTGTTGCGACCTTAGTCCTGTAGTGAATGAGCATGTTGAATAGCTCACACTAAACAGTCGGCGGTTAGGATCGAGTGTTGAAAGGATGGGGCTGTTGCTCACACATATACCTTCCTACCAGGAAGTATAATATATATCTTGGGCATCAAGCCATCAACACTGATGTTGTTATCATGTCATTGGCATCTGTTTGGCAAAATTTCTTTATAGCCTAGAACACTTCATTTGGAGATCATTTAGAGTAAGAGTTGGAGATTGATGAGAGGCTATGGGTTGTCATAGAAATAGCATGGTAGTCAGAAGACTTCTGTTTGAGTCCTGACTGTCATTTACTAGCAATGTGAGTTTAGGCAAATCACTTTCATCTCTCTCTGCCTCAGTTTCTGCATCTGTCAAATGGGGATAATGATATTTACATTACTTATTTCAGAATTGTAGTGAGGAAAATTTATAAACTGTAAGGTACTATAAATGTGTTTCTGTATTCCATTCTTGTACTGAGCCTCCCAGGAACATGGTCAGGGTAACCATTTCCCTTCTCTGTTTTTCCTCATCAACCAGCAGTGACTCACTTGAGCCTTGGACATTACATGAGATTTTAAAAGTTTGTGTTTTTTTTTTTTTAGGCAATTGGGGTTAAGTGACTTGCCCAGGGTCACACAGCTAGAAAGTGTCAAGTGTTTCATCTGAGGCCGGATTTGAACTCAGGTACTCCTGACTTCAGGGCCCATGGGCCACCTAGCTGCCCCCAGGACTAAACACCCTTTTCCTTCTAATACTGTTTTCCTCTGGTCCCCCTTTTTTTTTCCCCTGAGGCAGTTGGGGTTAAGTGACTCGCCCAGAGTCACACAGGTAGTGAGTGTTATTTGTCTGAGGCTGGATTTGAACTCAGGTCCTCTTGACTCCAGAGCCAGTGGTCTATCCACTGAGCCACCTAGCCGCCCCCTGTGTGTGTGTGTGTGTGTTTTTAAAAGAATATTATAACATCCTTTATGTGGAATATATAAGGCAAAAGACATGTGAGTAATAAGATTGGATTATTATACTCCATAGTTGGAATGCCTAGAAGTCTGGTTTTAAACCATTTGGAAAGAAAGCAGCCTTTTCTCCTTTTAGGTTGACTTTGAATAATTCTATACTCTTAATTCTTTGAAAAAGTCTTCAAAAATTATCGTCTGACATAGCGTATTAGAATAGCAAGAGGCTACGTATAGGAGACAGTCAATAGATATTTTGTTCAATTGTGATTTTTCTTTTGTGAGTAAAGTGCTGCTCTGGTGTCATCTCGGAGCACAGCAGCTTGTTGACCCACTGAACTTCCTAAGAAAGTGAAAGATATCTGACCACTAACATTATAAAACTTATTTAGGATTGAGGAATCATCCTGTGTAGAGGCTTCTGACATCCTCACCAGGAATAGAAACTCTTCAGTGACAATTCATCTAGTAATTTGGTCCGCGAACACAGTCCAGCTTGTTCTTAACTGCTGTCAGTGCTGGCAAAAGCAAAAGCTGTGAATATGTCAGCAAGCAGGTAGGCCTCAAAGACACACTGATAAACATCAGTGATGCACATATACTTCCACGGATCCATGATCTCATCTATGTGGGCAGTCCTCCCCCTCCACCCCCCACCCCCACCCTAATTCTGGGTGATTTTGTCCGTTCCTCTTCAGAAATCCTCCAGACTTGATCTCCAATGTGTTAGATGTCTCTCACCGGTTCTTTTCATATTTTGTGGATACCAGTGCAGGACACAGGCTGTCTGTCCTCCATCTTTCTAAGTACTGTAATCTATGAAACAAACATCAATAGCTAGGATTATTATCATAGAAAGGAAAGATCTTTTGTATTTACCCAGGGCTTCTTTCTGGGAGGGCTGGAACTTAGCCTCAAACAGAGGATATTACAATATGCTCCAACATCCTAGTTGTTGAGTATGAATTTTTTTTTATGTGGAGGGCTATAATAGTACCTTTAAAATCTTATTTAGTTATATTTTACATGTAATCAGCTGATTAAAAGAGTTTACAAGACCTTTTCACATTGTATCTTCTTTTATAGGGTGGCTCATTAACAACAGGCCCCACAAAATTAACTAGGGATCAAGTACATGGGGTTAGTATGAAATGGTGCCTCCTTAACAATACCTTTTAAATCAGAAACCACTCTCTTGGTTTCCCTCTAAATTCCTGGCTCATGGAGCACAGAGGCGGGGGCACACACCTCATCCTTCCCCATTAAAAACCTTGCTGCTTGGTTAGGCTTGTTGCAAGCTAAGTACTTTGCTTCGTGAAGGCAATTTATTTTTGATACTTATTATTTTAGTGTGGGTGATGCAAGCCCCGCATAGCAGGGCACTTAGTCAGCTAGTGTCTTTTGGGTCCCAGGACGCTTCATTCATGCCAGTGAAGGGGAGAGCGTTGCGCTGCGGTGCCTGGGAGTGCTTCGGCAGTTGTGTTCCCTAGGGGGAAGGCTGGCTGGGTTCCGCGTTCAGCCCTTTTCAATCCAAGGCGTGGACTCCAGCATGGTAGTCATCTCCCAAAGCAAAATGCGGTTTTTCTTCACCTGCTCCATCCACCATTGCAGCAGCCCGGTCGACATCCTACCTTGTGGCTCCCACCCCTTCCTTAGATTTTGCAGCTGGTTATAACAGGAGTTGCAAAAGCTGTCCAGGCTTGAGGCTGAGAACTCCCAGACTAGGCTGGGAGAGAAATAAAGAAAAAATAAAAGAAGTAAAATAAAAATAAGAGGGATTCCTAGGTGAAGTTGCGAAATGGTGTCAGGAGGGGAGGGGGACAGATTGACAGTTACTCCCACCCATTCCTCGAAAGGCATCTCATTCCGTTCCCACTCCTTCCTAAAGCTCAGCAGGTAAAACTGGGAGGTGACTGGGAAGCCAGCTACTTGGTCTTTTAGCGCTGGGGTTTGGAAAAGGACAGAAAAGAAGATGAGGAAATATAAGAGTGGAACGAACAGCAAAAATAGAAAGGGAGAAGTGAAGGGATAAATTAGGGCGAGAAAGGAGTAGAGCAGGGAGAGGGGAGACGGCCAAAAAGAAAAATGGAGAAATAAGGGAGAAGGGAGAGAGGGAAGACCAAAGAGGAGAGAAAGAGAAAGAAAGAGGGAGGGAGGGAGGAATAAAAAGGAGAAAAGAAATGAGGAGGGAGAGAGGAAAAAGTAAAAAAGAGGGAAAAGGAAAAAAGGAGGGAAAGAGGAAAGAGCAAAAAACAAAGGAGGGAGAGAGAAGAGCAAAGGAGAAAGACAAGAGGGGCAGAGAACAGCAAAAAAGGAGAAAGCAGGGAGAGAAGGAAGAGTAAAAAAAGAGAGGAGGGAAAAAGAGAGGGAACAGCAAAAAAGGAAAAAGGAGGTAGAGAGGGAAGAGCAAAAGGAGAAAGACAAGAGGGAGAGAGAATATCAGAAAAGGAGAAAGGGAAAGAAGGGAAAATAAAAAGAATAGAGGAGGGGAAAAGGGAGGGAAGAGCAAAAAAGGAGAAAGAAGGGAGAGAGGGAAGAGCAAAAAGGAGAGAAAGGAGGAGGGAGAGGAAGCACAATGAGGAGTGGACGAGGAAGGGCAGGGAAGGAGAGAAAAGAGGAGAGTAAGGAGGAAGAGCAACGAGGAGGACCCAGAAGAGGAAGAAAAGGGAAAGGAGGCGAGACTAGGAGAAAGGAGGAGAGGAGAGGAGGCGAGGAGAAGTGGGAGGAGGGAGCCCCGCCCGGGAGGGGAGGGGCGGGGCGGGGCGGGAGGGGCAGGAGCGGGAGGCTCGGCAGAGGGGCTTGTGGGTAACGGGGGCCGCGGCGGCCGGAGCCGGAGCCGGGAAGCCCGCACTGGGCGTGTGAGGGCGAGTGTGCAGAGGAGCCCGGGGAGCTTGCGGGGCGCTGAGCGGCGGCAGGGCCAGTATGGGGCCGGCGCGGTGGCGGCGGCAGCGGCGGCAGCGGCAGCAGCGGCAGCGGCGGCCGTAGCTGCCCCGGCCGCGGTGCGAGCGGCGGCGGCAGAGGCGGCCTCCCGGCCAGCCCCGTCCCGTCCCGTCCGGGGAGGACCGGGACGGCAGCGGCAGCGGTAGCGGTAGCGCCGGCGGTTCCACTTCCCTCCGCCCTCCGGGAGCGGCGCCCCGAGCGGGACGAGCCCGGGTTTTGTCCCGTGGATGTTGGCGCGGCCGGGCGGGAGTCCAGCAGACGGCCCGTGAGGCAGGGAGCGGCCCCGAGCCTGACCCCGAGCCCGAGCCCGAGCGCGAGCCCGGCCGGCCCAGGCCGAGCCCCTCGCTTGCAGCGTCTGGGCGGCGCTAGGCCCCGGCGAGGGGGGGCGGCCCCGAGCCCCGAGCCCTGGAGGCGGGAGCAGGATGAGCCAGCCGCCGGCCGAGAAAATGTCTGGCAGCGCGGAGGTGGTGCCGTGGGACTGGGCCTTCGGGAACCGCCAGCGGCTGCTGGAGGCCCTGCTCTGGGACCCCCTCTCCCCCATCTACGTGGAGAGCCTCCTGGTGAGCAGGCGGCGGGCGGGGAGGGGGCTGCGGCAGCTTTGTCTCGGCCCGGCCGGGGGCCTGGCAGCTTCTCGGACTGGCTGTGCCTGTCCCCAGACAGACGACCCCCCCCCCCCCCCCCCCCCCCCCCCCTCCGGTGTCTGTCTCCTCGCCCCACCCTATCCTGCTGCCATTCCTCCCCCTCCCCGCTGCGTAGGACCGGTCTCTTCCCTGCCCCCTTCTCCGTCTGAAAATGGGACCCTCATTTTAGCTCCCCGCTTACTCCACCTTCTGCTGCCTGAAATCAAATTAGGGACCTTCGTTTTACTCCACCCTTATCCCTCGCCCCCACCTCCAAGCTGAAAATCGGAATCCTCGTTTGGACTGCCCACCCCCTACCCCGTATTCCATCACCTCCTTCCCTATTTAGGCACTCTTCTTACTCTGTCTGCCTCCTACCCCTCACCTCCATACCATTTGTTCTCAGGGTTAGGCTGGGGGGGACCCTCATCTGAGCCACATCTCTTTGGGAATGAGGATGTGCCTGGAAGTGTCAGGGGACCCCTTCTTCCCCATCAAAGGCCAGAGCCTCACACTAGCAGAGGAATAGGGGACACACGGAACTGTTTACAGTTGGGGGCTGGCGTGGGGGACTCGCTTCTCCAATTAAGAAGACTCCTCCTTAAACCCTTCCCTAGTTCCAATTGGGAATGTGTATGTTACTTGACTGAGAAAGGCTCTTCCCCCGTCCCGCCCCCCCCTTCCTTTAGTCCTGTTTACTTCCCCTTTTCCTCAACCAACTTTATGTTGGATCACAGGAAGGTAAAAATCTTAAATGTTTTTATGCATCTTTAAACATCCTATGAAATCTTACCATAACTTGTTCTGAATTTTCCCAACTTCAGAATGCCCTCAGTATTGTTGCACCAGACATTGTGAATCAATTTAAACTGTAGAATGGACGTAATCTTCCTTCCTTCCCCCATCACTTTCCAAATACACCAAACCCAATTCCATATTGATAATCAAGTAAAGGCTGATGGTTGGCTCTTGAATCATCCAGTAAGGAGGGAGCTTGCTTTTGGAATAAGTCATATAGAATTGATTGCATATTTCTTTCTTATTTTTGTTAAGGTTAAAGCTTGTGACAATTTGTATGGGTTTGAGATGCTTACATGGGAAAGAGTGTGGGCTCTATACTCTGGAGAGGAAAAGAATGAGAAGAAATCTTTTTGGATATTAGATTTTATCTCTCTGACTAGAATTAGAGAGCGTGATTTTTGCTTCCCCCCCCCC